GACTATATGACCTCCTGAGGTCCCTTCCGGCCTTATATTTCTGTATTTGTAGAGTAGACGACTTCCCAAGGTCCTTTCTAGACCAATTTTCTGATTCTGTATCATCAAACAATTGATTGTAAGCAACTAGAAAATATAAAGATGATTATTAATATCCATCATGGATTTGCCAAGCTATGCCAAACCAATCAGATTCTCTTCTATGACTGTTAACAGGCTTTGCAAAGTGGGGTGGAAAGAAGTAGCTATGGCATACCTCAACTTTAGGTTAGGCTTTTGATAATGTGTTCCATGACATTCTTGTAAGTAAGCTAAAGGAGATACAGTCTAGATCAGGCTTGTCCAACATATGGCCCGCGGGCCGCCATGCAGCCCTCCAAGGCATTTTCTGAGGCCCGCGGTGCTGCGACGGGAAACGAAAGTAAACAGTTTACTTTCATTCCCACCCCTTGTCCCTTCCGCAACCTCTCAGCAGCTTCCTAATGGCTGCTGAAGGGCTCGGAAAGGGACAAGGTTCCCACACGCACTGCGTCAGCTTGACGTTGCCAACACGGTGTGTGTAGGAAGAGGAGTAGCCATGTGTCTCTCAGGACAGGATGAGCCCGGCCGCAGCAGCAGGGGTTCAGCTGCACTTTTCCCCTACCTGCATCGGTCAGTCCCGAGCGGCACGCGGCTCTGCCGCTGCCTCTGCTGACTGGTGTTGACCTGGGCGGGAGGAGGCCAGCCACATCAGCACCAGCCAGCAGAAACAGCGGCAGAGCCATGTGTCACTCAGGACCGACAGGTGAAGGCAGGGGAAAATGCAGCTGAGCCCCTGCTGCTCCGGCCAGGCTCGTCCCGTCCCGTCCCGTCCCATCCCGTCCCGAGCAGCACACAGTTCAGCCGCCGCTTCTGCTGGCCAGTGCAGACCCGGCCGGCCTCTTCCCGTCCCCAGCAGTTTGTGGGAAGCCGACTTAAGCTGCATGCCGCTTTTCCTGGCCAGTGCTGACCCAGCTGAGGCGGCGGCGGAGCCGTGTGCCGCTCAGGACGGAACGAGCCTGGCTGGAGCAGCAGGGGCTCAGCTGCATTTTCCCTTGCCTGCACCGGTCAGTCCCAAGTGGCACTTGGCTCCACTGCTACTTCTGCTGGCTGGTGCCCACCTGGCTGGCTTCCTTGAATCTAGTCACCTGGGGTTTTAAACCAAAAAGACTAGCCTCTGAAAGGAACTTTTACAGAGCTGCAGACCCCCAAATCTCACACTTAATGCAAATACAGGTTTCCCTCGCCAAACACGGTTTTGGGTATCCACGCTTCAGAGAAGGGGTGGGGGTACAGTCAGAAAATACCCCCCCATGGCTCCCCTGGCCTGCTTGTGCCTCTCACTTCCCACCTCACATAGCCTTGCTGGTGCCCCTCACACCCCAGCCACAACCCCTGCTCCCCCAGCCCTGCTGGTTTTGCCAACCACAGTTTTGCCACCCATGGGAACTTTCAGGAACCTAACCCCCATGGTTAGTGAGGGAAACCTGTACTGTATAAGTTGACATTTATCCAAGAGCCACATCATGAAATACTGGTCTAAGTCTCTCTGGCCCAGGACAGAGGGTGTTTGAATATGGCTCGCCGGCCCACTGGTTGATAAAAAGTTCATGATCTGGCCCCACATTCAAAAAGGTTGGACACCTCTGGTTTAGATGAAACTACTATAACATGAGCTCATAACCGATACCCAAGGAGCCACCATCTTTGGTTCAGTGTCAAAATGAAAGGAGATATCAAGTGGGATTCCCATGGGGTTGGACCTAGGTCTAGTAATGTTCAGTGTCTTCATCCATACTTGAAGGGTGAAACTAAGAGTATACTTAGAAAATCTGTGGATGATGTGAACCTGGGTGCTTTGGAGAACAGATTTAGGATTCAAGTGGCCTTGAAAAAATTGGGAAAATGGTGTGAAATTAAGGGGATGATGTTCAGTAAGGATAAGTGCAACATACTACACTTGGGAAAGAACAATCAAACGCACAAATACAAAATGGGGAATGACTGGCAAAGCTATAGAAATGCTGAAACATGCCTGAGGATGATAGTGATTATGAGCTGCATATGAGTAAATAATGTAATATTATTGCAAAAGTTTATAGCATTCTGGGAGCTACTAATAGGAGTGTCATATGGTATTCACAGGAAGCGATTCACCCACTCTTGGGTAATCTCATGAGGTCTTTCCAGTTCCATTTTTCTTTGATTCTTTTAATTGCTGGTTAGACTTTTTGGGAGGAGGAAAGAGAGGACTTCGTGTTGGTGGAATGAGAATCTAGTCACCTGGGGTTTTAAACCAAAAAGACTAGCCTCTGAAAGGAACTTTTACAGAGCTGCAGACCCCCAAATCTCACACTTAATGCAAATACAGGTTTCCCTCGCCAAACACGGTTTTGGGTATCCACGCTTCAGAGAAGGGGTGGGGGTACAGTCAGAAAATACCCCCCCATGGCTCCCCTGGCCTGCTTGTGCCTCTCACTTCCCACCTCACATAGCCTTGCTGGTGCCCCTCACACCCCAGCCACAACCCCTGCTCCCCCAGCCCTGCTGGTTTTGCCAACCACAGTTTTGCCACCCATGGGAACTTTCAGGAACCTAACCCCCATGGTTAGTGAGGGAAACCTGTACTGTATAAGTTGACATTTATCCAAGAGCCACATCATGAAATACTGGTCTAAGTCTCTCTGGCCCAGGACAGAGGGTGTTTGAATATGGCTCGCCGGCCCACTGGTTGATAAAAAGTTCATGATCTGGCCCCACATTCAAAAAGGTTGGACACCTCTGGTTTAGATGAAACTACTATAACATGAGCTCATAACCGATACCCAAGGAGCCACCAGAGTAAACAGAGCCTGTGCTAACAAATGCATGAGGCTGAGGAACTGAATGCCAAAACAGGTGGCATACAGCCAGGCAGACACCATTACCATAGGGGATGAGGGTTTTGCCACGTGCTGTGTACAAGCCCACTGGCAAACATGCTAACACAACTGTTCTCTCCTCTCTACCTTCTAGCACAGAGAACAGCTGAGAGGCTCTGCTTTTTGGGGTATAGGTTTGCTATAGGAAAATACTCTTCAATTTAAAATTAGCCAGCTGTTTAAGTCCCTTAGGGCCTTATTGCCTGTCAGATGTCATCACCCTTTTCCAGTAAATGTACAAAACTATACCCAGCAGTTGGGGACATCCAAGTCTTTCATGGTTGCAAGGTCTACTGTGTTAGAGCAACAGATGAGATGGATCACGGAGTATGTGGTATCCAACAAAAGTGCCATGCAATAGCACCATCGGGGAAAAAGGAGGTCCTGAAGCACAGCTCTACATATCACCTCCTCTGTAATAGTCATTAACCTGGATTGCCCTGGTCTTCCATGTCTTAAGTGGGTATATCAAGTGGTTTCTCCCACTGGGTGTTTCATCCAGAGGTTGAGAATTAGGGGGTAATTTTCAGATCTGGATTTAAGCTGTGAGAACATGGCTCCAGAAATCTCTTGTGAGGTGGGTGAAGTAATGGATGGGAAGGCACAGAAGGAGCTTGCACAGGATACTGGGATTTTAAGGCTTCATGTGGGCTTCTTTCTGCTGGAATTCCTGAGGGAATGGGTCAAGTGAAGCTGTTGTGTCTCACTGGACTCTACTTACACACACATTAGCAGGACTTAGAAACTTCACCCTTTTCAGGCTAGACACGATATCCTGAGAAGAACTCCCTGATTATTTTCTAAAGAAATCTCTAGTTTCTGGTTACACCAGAGGGATGCTCAAACCTTGGCCCATGGGCCTATGCAGCCATGTTATCCAGCTCACAGGGCTTGCAACAGGTCCAAAAAATTGGCAGTGGCGGAGTAGAGGCTGTTTTAATTGCTGTCCATCAGCTGCCAAATTTCTAGACTGGTTGCAAGCCTTGTGGGCTGGATAACATGGCTCTCCATGCTAGATTATGCCTGTGCATGGGGCTGAGCCAGCACATTGCCAGATCTGGCTGCCTGTGACTGGGCCAGTGCAAGGCTGGATCCAGGTACTTAGGGCACAACCCATGCACCAACCCCACACAGGATCTGGCCTGAAGACCAGTCTTGTGCCACTCATCTGACTGGCAGGACCAAAAAACTTGGCATCACTGGGTTACAGAATTAATCTACGGCTGCTTCTGTTATCATTTATTTGCAAGGGAGTTTTTTTTTAAAGAGCATTGTATCCAGAGCAGTATAGGGCGTTCCTGTATCAGGATCCCTGGCCCACAGTAGTTTTGTGTAACGAGGACCTAATGCACCTGGAAGGGGAAAAACTGCTTTCTCTTTTTGCCTGATGCTCTGCCTTTGAAAACAAATGGCTAGAGTAATGGAATTGTGCTTTACAGCAGGCTACAGAACCTTCTGCAACCAGCTTCATTGGGAAAAGACAAAAGCCTTGAACTTCCCTTTCCAAAGCATAGATGACAGTAGATATAAACAATGCCAACCAGTATTGTACATCTTGTAGCATTTTATAAGAAAGATAATTACCATTCTCCCCATTTTCTAGGTAAGGAAGTGAAGCACAATGAGAGGTGACTTGCCCAAGGTCACTCTGATAGTCAGTGGCAGAGCAAGTTTGGAACACAAGGGTCACGTCCAAAGTTAACTTGCACTCCATATAATTGAATGATTAAACAGAAATTCTAGAACAGAACCATGCAGTGTAGACTGGAAGGGACATGAGACAATTGCTGGTGTTATTTTAATGTCAGGCATCGTGATATAGTTGCCTATTGAGAGTGTTGCCTAATCAGCCTTTATGCACCTAGAATTCAGGGAGGCCTCAGACACTGTGTTAGCACTGTGTGCAAGCAGAACATCAAACTCAGAATGAGTCCAACTAAGGTGTACATCTGGAGTACAGTCATGGCAGAGTAAAACTCAGCTGCACATCTGGATTTGGAGAGAAATGTTTATTAACTTGCTTGTTTCAATTCTTCATATTGGCATTTCCTGTTCTTTAAGAATAAGAGTTGCTTTCTTCTACTCCTTTGTCCTGGAGGGCTGGACTCATGTTTGCTGTTGCTGAAGTGGAATGAGACTAACCAGCAGATGTGTTCCTGGCAGTTCTTATTGTGATGCCACCAGAAACAACAAGGTTAGATTCTCTCCCAGTTTAAAGGTGCTGCAAAACACCGTATGCTCTGTTTACAGATGCACCAAGAGTCTAGGACCCACCAAACAAACAAAGCTGGCTCTTTGAGATGGACTTTTTGAGAACAGAGCTAGGTCTGTGAGATGATTGTCACACTGAGCAGCTGACTTTTTGGTCTGCTGGGGCCCCAGGGTTAGCTTGCTCCTGCATAAACACATACAATATGCATCAGGGCTGCATTTTCTGTTTCCTCATCTGAGAGCCTGGCATGAAAAGTGAAGACAGTGAGAGCAGCCAGTGTTGAACCAGAACAGCTGTATCAGTCAGGTAACTCATACAAGCTACCAATATTTCATCTCCCAAGGGAACCTGCAGTGCACCTGAATGACTGCCCTGTGTGGCCTTATATCCTGCAAGGTGGCTGCAAGGCACCACATGGGCTGGCTCAACTCGGAACACTGTCCTAGGACCTTCCTGCCCACTCTGTACAGCTGTAGTTAGGCTGGTGTGATATTCTTAGGCGGAGCATGGGATGCCACTTCTACCTCTGCAGCAGAGGTATGTCTGTGCTTTTACCGCACACTGGGGGGTCCAGTAACTCCCTCTGATCAGCCGTGCCTTCTTCTGTAAGCAAGAAGCAACTGGAGGGGCAGCAGGGCTTTGGTGTATGCCTAGAGAGAGGATGAGTCCTGCACCTCCACTACAATCTAAGGCTCGGTGGCTCAGAAGATAGGTTCCAGTGGGTACCTGGGGGTGACAAAATGAAGCCTCCCCTGTGATTTCCCTTGTCTCTACTATTCACTTCCCTGTCCAAATCTCAGCCGTCCTGAGACAAACAGTTTGATCATTTTTCCTATCTTCTCTTTTATTGTACTGAACTCCCTCAGTGACTCCCTCCCTGTATCCCGAACTTTGGCCCTCTATTTTCTGTTCAAGGGAATTTAACACTAAGGGTAAAACCTAGAGTAGATGAGACTGCATTCCCCCTCTGTACCTGTAGCTCTGTCACTTGGGGTTTGTGTACACTGAAGCTGGAGGCAGACATTAGCTTAACCAGCTTAGCTACCAATAACAGTTTGTAGCTGCAGTAGCACCAGATTCACTCTATGGGCATGTCCACACATGCAAACACATGCACTTGCAGCAGCTCAAAATAGAGGTGGTGCAAATTTGAGCCAGGGCTTTTTGCCTCAGTGCACGTGCTTGGACATGCACTTTGTTGTTGGAGCAAATTGTGCCACTTGGGGCAAAATAACCCTGCCTGGCTCCTCCTCGATCTGGAGCCAGGGGAAGCTAGAGCCCAGGGCCAGTACCTGTGCTGTCCTCGGCAGTATAAAAAGCTGCCCTGTCAAGTAGCTCATGGTCAACTAGCTCTCGAGCTTCTGGGGCCCAGCCAACTGGTGCCTGGGGATACTGACCTGGTGCCCAAAATTCCCCATAGGCTTGCATGGGGTTGACATTGTCCCCGGAAGCCAGCTGGCTTGCATTGTCCTTTTGTGCCAGCTGGACTGCTGAAGCAGCCCTGAGCATTCCCTGAACCCTCTACCCACTGCAGCAGTCTGGCAGTGGGGGGCTGCTGCCTGGCTGTGACCTGCTGCGCACCTGCCAGACCTGGAGGGTAGGCCTGTGCGAGTAGGCAGCTATTCAATCCGGCTTTGGATCCAGCTGCTTTGCATGCCAGGGATCTGATCCGGAGCTCCGGACCAGGTTTCCGCTTTGATCCGGCCAAAGCAGCCCAGAAGCTTCAGTACAACCTCGCAGATCCAGCCATAGGGTATAATGGGGAATCAATGAAATATCTATAACTTTGTTGTTCTTTGTCTGTTTTGGGTGAAACATGCAGGGGTGGTAGCCTCTGCTGAGAGCATGAAGCCTGCCAAGTTTCAAGGAGATAAGATAAGGTTTGGGGGGAACTGCACCTCAAGCTGCTGACAGGCAAAACTTGTGACACAGATGACCCTGTGTGTGTTAAGGAGCAGCGAGCTGAAAACTGCAGGGGTGGTGGCCCCTGGTGAGGCCACAAAGCCTGCCGTTTCAAGAACACACACAGTGTCACCTGTGTCACGAGTTTTGCTTGTCTGCAGCTTGAGGTGCAGTTCCCCCCAAACCTTATCTTATCTCCTTGAAACGTGGCAGACTGTGGCCTCAGCAGCAGCTACCACCCCTGCAGTTTTCAGCTCGCTGCTCCTTAACACACACAGGGTCATCTGTGTCACAAGTTTTGCCTGTCAGCAGCTTGAGGTGCAGTTCCCCTGAAACCCCTGTGCCTATCTCCTTGAAACTTGGCAGGATTTGTGGCCTCACCAGGGGCTACCACCCCTGCAGTTTTCACCATCCTGTGGTGTAACACATAGATGTGATATGAGTTTTCTTTCAAGAATTTGGGGTGCAGTTCCCTCCGAACCCCTGCGCTGATCTTCTTGAAACTTGGCAGACTTCATGCTCTCAGCAGAGGCTACCAGTCCTACAAATTTCATCCAAATCAGACAAAAAACAACAATGTTATAGCTATTTAATTGATTTCCCATTATATCCTATGGCCGGATCTCCAAAGAGGCTCCAAAGCTTTTCCAAAGCACTTCGGAAGCTCCAAACCACTTTGGAAAGCCTAGCAAAGCCAGCACTTTGATCCGGACATGCTGCTTCAGACGCTGAAGTGTCTGAAGCTTCTCCAGATCTGCAGCACGGTCCGAAGCCTCGCACAGCCCTACTGGATGGGGGACTGCACAGCCAGTAGAGGCATCTGCCCCTCTGGGCCAGCTGCCAGTGGGCTGTGATTGCAGGGTTGTCCTCTGGG